AGAACGATATGCTCTGAGCAGGACACGAACAGGAGAGGCGGGGGCCAATGGTTCTGTGGCAAGAAATTTGGGCCAGAGCCTGGGGTCTGGAAAGTTCCGACAATGTTCCAGAAGATGATGATGACATGACTGTATCTGAACAAATGTAGATTTCTGTATATGAATACACATGGATGTGAAACAATACAACGGCTTGAAAATAAGCCCTATTGATCTTTTGGAGCAAAACATAATATAAGATCCAGTCTTATTTTTCAAGGAAATGTGCTACACATGAAGAGTGCCATTAAATACATATCACAGCCTGTGGAGAAGTGAAGTCCTGGGAGCAGAAGATAACAGAGAAGGGAGACCCTTCCACTGCCCATGCCACACACAGACCACATGCAGACCATGTGATCACATTAACTAACCAAAAACTAAATGCACAGTTAAGGAGTTTTTCCAAATGCTGATAAAATACACAACAGAAGATAAAAATGAAAACTAAGCATGCCAGTGTAATTTGATTGGCTCCATCTAGCTGTTTGACTTCTATATTCATTTATAAATGTACCTATTTTGTAAATGTCAGCCTATCATAGGCAGGATACACTTATGCCCCGTTAAACTGATTCTAGTCAATAAAGAAGGCGTGGCAAAGGTCTCAGCCATTCTTACTGCAAAGCTTAAAGCAGAATGTGCACAGTGGGGTAAAAACTGAAGCAGGTAGTATTCCAGCATCCTGGGAGGCTGAGGCAGGAGGATGGCAAGTTATGAGTTCAGCCTGGCCAACTCAGAGACTTAGTGAGACCCTGTCTTAAAAAAAAATAAAATAAAAAGGGCTAGGTTTTTGGTTTTTTGTTGTTGTTGTTGTTTGGTTTTTTTATTTTGGGGGGGGGGTGGTGGTACCAGGAATCAAACTTGCAACCTTGCACTTGCCAGGCAGGCACTGTGCCACTGAACTATATACTTGGCTCTGGCCCAGTGTAGCTCAGTGTGACAGCCTCAATTCAACCCTTAGTATCGTCAAAGAAATAAAACAAAGATATTGTGTTCAGCAGTCTTCCCGGCTATTACAAGCACTATCTGCTTACTGTGGTTCAGGGCATACTGAGCCTGAAACCCACTTCAAAAACTCATTTTGTCTCGTTCTAAGCCACGGGGAACAGCATCTAGCCATATGCTCCTGCATCTATTCCATCAACTATTCAGTTTGGTGGTAGTTATGTAGAATTCAGGCATTTTTGAAAAACACCTGAATCAGGATCAGAGATGGACTCTGGCAGAATAGTCAAGAGAAATGATTTACCAAATGATGACAGAGGATGGCAGGAGGATTCTACAGCTTCTAGTTTTGCCAAGGATCCAGGCAAAGAAGGTGTGGAACAAAGGCTGGCCCCAGCCCAGGATGGCCAAGTGTGAAGGGCCACAGCTGGTCAACCCTCCCCGGATGCCTCTGCACCAGCCCTGCAGCTCCAGGGTCACCACTGCCACTTGGGTCTGAGCCAAGTACTGTCCACAATGCTGGCTTCCTTCCTATACCCTGCCACTCTGGGAAAGTACCTGTCAGTTCTAGTAAGCTGCCCGTTCATTCTTTTGGATTTTCTGTGCTCTCTGAAAATAATGTAGCCTCATTCCAAAGACCAGATGAGAATATGCAGGTGACTGAGACCAGCACACATGCCTGAGCTGGTAAAGCAAATATCCAGCATTTTTAGTTTCCAGAGCAAGAAAGGGGCACTTTATGCCACTAAGAGACAAGGATTCCCCAAATATAAGAATGTGGCAGGAAAAACATGTTTTGCTAAAATCAAGAGTATACTCTAGGGAAATATTTTGCAAAAAAGGATCATAAATGATAAATATAAGAAATATATATGAGCATAAAACACATAAAATGTGACATACAGGCAACAAAGGATCATCAGAATATAAAAACTATAATTAAACCCTAAGTAAAAAATAAACACAGGAACCATATAATCTGAGTACCACATGTAGAGGCATCCAGGACCCCTCGGGGCAGCTAGAACTGATTGTACTCAACCCTTGTGAGATTCAGAGCAGAATCAGTGAACTTTCAAATAATGCAAGGAGCCTACTGCTTAAAACTTTGCATGTTCTAAAAGTGTCTCATCGTATGCCCAGGGGGCCCGCAATGGTGAAATGGCCAGAGAGGAACAAAGAACAAAAGTATAGCTAATAATTACTTTACTGTCTCTCCTCGCCTCCCAGAGGGGCATCTGATAGTTCTTCCCTTTTAAGAAAAAAAAAAAAAAAATACAAAGAACAGAAAGTGACCTAAGGAAAAACAGGATGATAAATAACCCTTGGCTGTCCATGCAGATTCCCCACCTGCTTCTCATCCTTTGTGTTTTCATGTCTCATGTTGAAATGGACCAGAGATAATGCATGCCCTTATCAAAACTCCCAACTTATTTGAAAATGTTTGCCTGGGTTAAATTTCAAACTGGAGGCAGGGGATGCCTTCAGGCAAAGTGACGAGCTGGAACTTGAAGGATGAAAACAAAGAGGAAAGGAAGAGATAAAGCTGCAGATTCTGGAAGGACAAACAGAACTGAGGACACACAAGATCCGCACACTGCTTGGGAGCAGAGGGCCGCAGCCAGGTCCACAGCAGGCAGGAGCCCCGGAAGAGACGCTGTTTGGGGAGGTCAGACTCCCCCAAGTGATGGAGAGATTAAGGGCTTCCCTTTAATCACCCAAATGTCACTATCCAGTAAGCGGGTTGGAACGAGGGCTCAGGAACGACCTGGGGATCTGACCTGGAAACCATCCCACATGTAGGTCAAGAGCAAAGCCACAGAACTGGCGCTTGGTACTGGTGTCAAGGGGACCCCAAGTTACCCGAACCCTGAGGAGAGAAACACCAGCAAGGTAGAATCAAACAAAGCGAGGAGTAGTTTTCCACTGCCAAGCACAAGTCATCAAACACCTTCATCATTCTGTTCAAGACACATGCTCGTGATTGCAATGTTACATGGATGCACAGGAAAATGCTGCCTAAGGGTCCCACAGGGACAGGGGTACTGCTGTCACCTGTGTGACATTTTCAGCTCACACCTCTCCACGTGGGATGTCACCGGGCCTCCTAGTAACAACGCTGCGGTCAAAAGGAGTGATGACATCATTCTTGTCATAAAGATGAAGAAACAGGGGCTCCAGGGGCAGCAAGAGACACAGCCCAGCCCCAAACACAGGTTCCCCAACTCCCAGCCTGACGCTGCTGCATCTTGGTGGCCCCATGCACAGCTGAGGCAAAGAGCCTCAAACGTGAGCATGTGCTGTTCTGTGCTTTCCAAATACATACAAATGGTTCTCTGGTTTTCTGTAGCTTGAATGCTCTTCTCTGATGTTTAATATATTCTTGTGGTAAGTAAGCTCTAATTTTACAAAACTGCATTCAACAAAATAACATCACTTCATAATCTCTACTCTCAAGGTACCTGCCATCAATAGTCTGTAGCATACCCTGATACTCCATTTTCCATATATATTTTTTATGAATATATGGTAAGAGCTACATAAATACGTGTCTCTATTTGAATATATTTCTCTATGACTTGCAAATGTTTCCACTGGATCAGTTTTTGGAAGCAGAATGGTGAGTCACAGTGTATACTGTAAATTTGAGAACCCACTGCCAAGTAACTTTCCAAAGAAGGTGCACCCATTCCTATTGGTCTATGATCTATGACTGGCAAATGTGATTACTTAGAATATAAAAATTCTATGAAAGACAAAATGCACAAGTTTATATAAGTAATCAACTGAGATACTTTGGTTAATTCTCCTCATATATGAAAATTTCTTGCAAATCAAAATACAAAACTTAAAACAATGAACAAAGGTAATAAAAGTAATTGCAAATACAGTCAAAAAAGCAACATTTAACTCCACACAACAAAGTCAAAATTAAAAGCAAAGCATTATTTTTCATCCATCAAGCTGATTAAAATTTTTGAAAGAACAGAGAAACAAGTTCTTTGGAAGAGAAATGATTCAACTTCTGCAGGTCATCTTGGCCATGAATATTTTAACAATTACAAACTGAGCCAGAATACAAGTACATGATAACTTATTTATGGAAACACTGAAATGCACTGTTGCTAACTGTAGGAACTCAGAAGCAGCCTGTCAATAAAAAAATTTTTAAATTATGTTTAAACCGTACAGTGGAGCATTTCATGGGCATAAAATATTTGATCATTTTTTGTGTTCAGGACATTAATATACACACAGAATAATCTATTCATACATATGCATACAAGTCACAGGAAAACTATCTTAAAATACAAAGTATTATGGTACCAAACATAAATTCTAATTCTCTCTGCATGCAGGAATGACAGGTAGGTTTATGTGATTGTTTTTGAACAGTATGCATGTATTCAGGAAAACATTAAGACCATTACCATTTGAAAAGAGATGACAACTCTGAAAAAATAAGAATCAGAGGGCCAGAACTAGATCATGTCCTAAATATCTTCCCATCCTGAAATTAAATATGACAATAAAGGAAATGCTGTAAGGGAGTTGTTTCCTATGAATTAAGCAAAAGATCTTTCTGAGAGATTAAAATACAAGAAATGTCTTTTTGATGGTTACTTCCTGGGAGGACAGGAAGGGGTAGAGAGAAAAAAGAGAAGACAAAATTCTAGTCCAGGTGAAATCTTTTTTAGGTTTCAGGACTCCCAAAGCATGAACTTCAGTGCAAATCTCCAAACTTAGGCCTCAGAGCTAGAAGTGGGGATTCATTCTTGAAGATCTAAGTGTACAATATTATCCTATTGACAAAAAAATTACCACTTCTGGTCTGTAAATGCAGAATGGAAGTTAAGGTAAACACAGCACATTGGATTCACAGTAAACCATCAAACAGTACTTCTTACCTAACCTTTACTTACATTTTTAAGTGCTCATAAAAGCATACCCAAATATTTAATTACGGCTTCAACTCTTTGCTTATGTATTAATCAAAAAAGTTAAATAATTACCTCTCCTATGAAGACTACTATAACACAGTCCAACTTCTCTTCAGGATACAGATTATCAATAAGGGAATGAAGCGTTTCTATGAGGTAAGATTTAACTTCTCTCTTCACTGTGGGAATTCCCATTACTATTGAAACTGAAACAAAATAACATAGTAATTATATAAAAATAGGTTACAGGACAATCAGAAAAACACTGCTACTTTAAAACTATCACACCTTCTTCAACTGATGGGAACATTTGACGGGTTCTATTTCAAGTTTAGAAAGAAAATAATCAAAGAATATAAAAAGCATACCCAAAATACTGTTTTTTTCACATGGCTTACCTAGTGAAAGTATGTAATGTCAGGAGACAGGTAAAAATAAAAAAGATTAAACTTCATGCTAAAAGTGAGAGCTATCAATAGCAAATTCGATTATACAACAAAACTTAAGACATAAACATATCCAAAAACTAATGTCTTACACATCAACGCCAGGATATGACACCCTGAGAAAGGCGCGGCATCACTTCTGAGGTTTCCATGCCCAAAAATGCATAACCTCGACTTAGCCAGGAAGAAACATCAGACAATCCAAAGTGGGGGGCCGTCCATCAAATAACCAGCCAGTGCCACTCAAGGGTCAAGGTCACGAAGACAAAGGATAAAGAAACTGTTCCGGGTTACGAAAGCCCAAGGAAAAGGGACAATGAAATAAGGAATTCTGAGCTAGATCCTGAAGCAGAAAAATGATGGCAAAAATGGCCAAGTGTGAAGAAGAGCTTGGGTTACTTAACATCCTCACGTCTCTAGGTTTTGGTCGCTGTTCTATGGTGGCATGAACACTTGGGGACTCCTTGAGAGCATGAGCAAACTTTATATATTACCGGCCTAATATTACCATCATTTGTTCTGAGTGCAAATCTGCTCCTACATGATCAGTATATTGGGGGAATTTTACATCTGCTCATGTAAAGTGCCTTCTCTTAAAACTGACAGTATTTCAAAATGAGTTTTTAAAAACTTAACCTAAAGTCTTAGTACTCTATGTGCTATACGTCGATAGAGAAGTATTTTTCAAATGTTAAAAATAATTTAAATCTTAATTATGGAACAATTTATTGGGGATGCTATAAAAGAATTCATCGAATTCGAAAGCTGGAAGGAACTTCAAAGATCACAGATCAATTAATCCACTATCATGATTTTGCAGTCAGGAATACTAAGGTAGTAAGGAATACTGAGGTTGCGGGAGCTTCCTGGAAGGTTCTAGGCCATGTCCGCTCTTTCCTTTTAGAAAGACGGGGTTATCAGTGACTCAAAAAGGAACCTGCTCTATTGGTTCTGCACAGGTATGCACATCTATTAAACACGAGGTTCTGCTCTGGGTTTTGGACATGTAGTGGCGAGTAATATAAATCAGACCCCTGCAATCAGACCCCTGTAGAAGTGGGGGCATGATCGACAGTCAATCACAGAGGACAATGTGCACTATACAAATTTAAGTGAGGTCATATGAGACGGAGCCAGGAAATGGATAGCGAGTAGCTCTACAGACTGGTCTTGGAAGGGCTCTCTGATACCAATGGAGGTGGTAATGAATGCTGAGAAAGAGCCCAGGAAGAACATTCTAGAAGAGGAAACAGCAGAGCCCTGAGGGCATAATGCTCTTGACATAATCAACAAATTGCAGAAAGGGAATATATTCAAAGCAGAATAAGCCTAGATCCAGATAATCAGTCAGGGATTCAGTTGCTTATCACAAACTTCAGTTTGAATTCTGAGTACAAGAGAAAGGATGCAGGCAGGGGAGGGACATCTGATTCCTAATTTTAAGAACTATCAAATTTCATAGAAAGTCAAAGCATGGTTTCAAGAGGAGCAACATTTTTGGGAAGATGGGTTAGGAAGTTACAGCACTAATTACAGGAAATGGGGGTTTAAAGTAGAGGTCGGGAGAGGTGGAGATGAAGAATGGGCTTGGGATTGGAGACACCGCCCCATCCCCATGGGCTGCACTGGGGAGAGGAAAGCTAGGGGAGAGGTCCCGGACAACTCAGGCAGGAAAGGAGGTGTCTCCTACTCACAGCAACACATCCAAGGGGGACAGGGCGCCAAATCTGGATTTCTATTTTGACAGTGTTACCTTGTGATGCTAAAAGGGGATGAGTTACTCTGGAAGCAGATTTCCAGATACTTTAATCTACCTCAGAATTTAAGTTTGGAATGTTTCAGGCTGGAGATGTACTCAGAGGGAAAGGCTCCCCCACATTTATGAGGTCCTAGGTTCCACCTCCAACATCACACACACACACACACACACACACACACACACACACACACACACACTCTTCAGAATACAGCTGAAAAGTAGAGTAAGTACTGTATGCAGCTTTGCTAGGCTATGCTAACTCATATGAAGTTCAGAGACATCATTTAAAGAAAAAGCAAACCACACTTCCAGAGCGTGCAAACAAACTGGTCTACAATAATTATGCAAATTTTCTATGCTCTGCCACACTCTTGGGATGTTTCATTTCTCCATCTTGTTTTTGTTTAGATGGCATTTTTAAAAACTATTCTTTTCTCAAACACACTTTTGTTTTGATGCTGAAATTTAAATTCTTTAGTTCAAACCAAAGACTCCAAAAGACACTCAAAAAGACTCCAAAATCACTGAAAATGAAAGTAAGAATTTTGACCAAACTTACAGAATTAGAGTAATTATGCTTGTGGTATTCACAAAATGACCACGAAATAGGTACTCTTCTCTGCCTTCCGAGCTCATGGCAAAACTGCACTGCTTGGTCCCCTTCTGGCAGGGAAGAGTGGGACATAAACATGACTAGTGAGGACAGCCCATGTGTGGCCACGTGAGACCTCTGGGTGGGCGCTTCTGTGTGCAGCCTGACACCCTCCGGCTGTGCATTCTCCTTGGCAGGGAAGCCCATTACCCTCACTATGGCGACTGCTCTGTTAGCCTGGATCCCTGAGCGATTGGTGAGGAGGAAGGAGGAAAACCCCTGGCCTGCGAAGGGCTCCTAGGCAAAACCATAAGTATTTATTATGTAAACTACTGAGATTTGGGGTTGTTAATTTATCACAGCATAACCCAGGCTGTTCTTGTGTGGTTAAAAAAAAAATCTTCTGTGAGCTACAATCTAAGAAATATTTGCACCCTAAGGGATTGGGTTTCAAGAGAAATACAAGGTGTGATCGAAAAACACAGTGAGTGCTTTAAAAATTGTTTTATTACAATTTATTTTTATTACAGTAAAACTTGCATTGCCATTAATCCTAAAATACTCTGCTTCAAACACCCTTACCCCTCATTCTCACCACTTTCTGAAGCAGTCCTGAAAGGCCTCTTTCTTGCCTGGAGCTGTGCTATTTGCAGCTGTCTGTCTGGATGTCCTAGGTCAATTCGAAACCTTTCCCTTTCATGGTCCTTTGATTTTGGGGGAAGAACAAGCACGATACAGATCCAGCACTATGGACGAGGACACATTCTGTTTTTATGAGCCTGACTTTCCACTGGATGCCCCCCGGCAACAGCATTCCCATATTTACCACACCCTGCACAGACCCCGAGGAAAGAGGATTCCAGAACTGCTTCGGAAAACGGCAAAAATGATGGGATAGGGTGTCTGAAATAGGAGTATTTTGAGAGATGTTCATGCCAATGTGGTTTTTGCTCTAATCACTAATTAAATATTCTCTCTATATTTTAATCATACCTTCCGTGTCAGCAGAGTGAAGAATATGACTGTTTTATAGAGAAGGAAGAAACCAAACAGAAACAGAACCAAAGGGTTGGCTATTTCGTTTCATCTGTTTCAACTGTTGATATTTCCAGCTCAAGTTAACTGACTGTATGTAATATTTACTATATACCAGATATCTGAAATTAAATCACAGGACTGATAAGGCCCCCTTGTTTATGTGTTTATGATTTGACAAATAGCTACTGTTGCTATTTCTGTTTTCTTTCACTTTCCTAGGGTGTTTTCAAATTCTAGTACATATTTCCTTTAAAATTGAGAAAAATTTAGGAAAAACCTTGATTTGATGCTCTTAATCTTTAATTAGTCTACCTTCAATTTTCATTAAATTATGCTCCTTTTTAAATATTAGGTGATAGTCAAAATGTTTTTAACTTCTCATATTCACTTACGACTTGACTTTAGTCATCTACTCCTCATTCTTTTCCTTACATTCCAAGATAATATTCAGATTTTCCTTCCTTGATGCCCCTTCCCTGTCTCCATCTTCCCTGGCTTCATCTTTCTCTTTTGCTGGAAATTAACTTCTGGGGAACTTTTGAGGCTCAATCCCGCGTCTCAGGTGACTCCACTTACACACGTCTTCAATAACCACTCATCCATGAACAATGACCCGAAAAACTAAATCTAACTCAGATCTCATCTTGGAGTCCCAGATCTTAACATGCAGTGAGTTGATATCTTCACTGCCACGTGTCAAGATGGCCTAGAAACTTACCATATCCAAATATCACGTATGATCTTCTCTTGCAAACCAATGCAGTAAAATGCCTGTCACCCACCTGCCCACTATGCATTCAGGTAGGCCATCCAGAGACTTAGGACTTTTCCTCTACCACTCTTTCAACCCCAGCCCAAAAATCCACTCAGCCTGGGAGGTCCTCTTCTCAATGTCTGCAAATATTCCCAACAACTCCTGAGTCCATCTTTCTTCCATCTCCTCCATCTATTCCAAATTCATCCTCTCTGAATGACCACTGAAACAAACAGCCTCTTATCGGACGTTCTGCATCTCCCCTTCTGCACATACCTTCCACCAGTCTTCCTATTGCAGGAATTGTGACCACTGCAAAGTGCACATCTCATCAAGTCGTCCTTGTAAATTCTGCTGAAAACCCCTCAGGGGCTTCCTACAGTTCTTAAGACACAAACCAAAACCCTACAACTGCTTGGCCTTGACTCACCTTTCCAGCCTCATCTTGCTCCTTGCTTTCCTCATCTACATGTCACTTCACCAGAGAAGTGACATGTAGAGAAATTCTTATCCGACTTCTGGCAGGATTCAGAGAAACCAGAGGGTCCCAGTTACCAGGGTAGATGTTTAGATCTTGGACCAGGAGATCAGTGTCACACAGGCTCATATGATGGTAG